TGATTAAGGCATGGTGCTATCTTACTACAGAGCTTGGTCAGCTCCATAAAACACTCCCTAGAATGTTTGTTCTCTGTGGGATAAAGTAAAATAAACAAACAAAAAACCCAACAACACATTTCTTCCACAGCTATTAAATGCTTTTTTGAAATGTTGGATCTCAGAGGAAATTCTGGTTTGAAAAGCAACCATCTATTCATTATCTATTCATTTTACAGTGTAAAAATTGGGCAATTAATTAATTAAGTGTATAACGAGATGGCAAATCACACAGCATAGTATGTTCTCTGCACAAAATGTCATCCCCTCACCTCATATTGGAGTCATATCCCTTGCTATATTAGAACTGATTTGCCCTTCAAAAGCAAACTGGGAACCTTGCTGAAAACAAAGCAAAGTGACACTTCATTTTGTTTCATCAATGCTCATCCTAGGCTTTCCTCTAAACTCCTGCCTTTCAGCCATCTAATTTGAAAGTTTTTATATCAGGCTGACCAAAATATAATTTGTTAATCTTCTAAATTCATCCTCTTTGCTCTACTTCATGTGATAGAAATGAAGCTCAAATGCTCAGCCCAGAGAACAACAAAGTGCCTTTCAATTAATAAATTTGGATTTGTAGAAGTTAGCGTCACAGATTCTGCAGGAATTTTTTAGAGCTGCCTCATCATGTAAAAGTGTATGCATTTTAGGAAGTAAAACGTTATAGATTGATACTCTTCCATTTCCAGTAATTCAAACATAAAGAGAATTTCAGAAAGCTATTAAATTTGTCGACAAAAGAAACGTAATGAAATAATTAGTGACCTGAAATAGTCTCAAAAGAAACTTTATCTTTTGGGTTTTTTTCCTGGGCCACAACTTATAAAATAAATTTAATGAAAAAAATTACTATTTCCACTGAAAATGAAGAAAATGTAAAAAAAGTTTTCTTTGTTATCTTCATTCTGTTTTACACACAAAATCTTGACAGTCTGAATTACAACCTAAAACCAATGTTGTCACAAGTCTAGTTGTCCAACCAGTGACAATTATGGGCTATTTAATTAGAAAAAACTTACAGTCACATCTTGAAACTGGAGACGCATAGCAGAGCCTGATGGCTGTGGTCGGCTGGTGATTTCTAGTATGGTCCTTAACAAAATATCTAGCAGGCTGTTTACAATCACATCAATTTCTTCCAGAACAGATTTTTCCTTAAATAATAAATAAAACATTTAAGATTTTAAAATAGAAAGATGATGACAGGCATATTTCCTTTGATGTTGTTTTAGAAACAAATGATAGTTTTACTAGGAATGTTACATTCGAGAAACAAGGACTGTTCTCTAATCAAGATATTGTTTAATTCTATTGATTTTTTTCCTAACAGTTTTCAGTTAATTACATTGTACTGAAATATAGAGGCCAGTTATGGGTTGACCTTGAATATGTAAGCATTCATCAAATTAGTAGAGCTCTATTTTCAATTAATGTTTAGAAGAAAGCAGTAAATAATATACGAGAACATTTCAGGCAAGATTTTTATAGGTAACACCCATATATTTTCTGGGAAAATTGCCAAGAGAGGCTTAAACTCCAAAAAGTAGAGTTCTGTTTTCACACTTTGAAACTATCACCAGAAACAAGCAGATGGTGTTCAACCTTCAAGACCTGCTTCAGCAGTAACGACCAGCTACATTGCTTCCCATCAACTGAGTAGCACAAACAAATTAGTCATTTATGTAAGCCTACAACTGCTTGTACGCAACATCAATACAAAGGAACCACGGTGTTCACCACCAAAAGAGACCATGAATATCTTAATTACATGCATGAAAACACTTGATGAAGTCAAGTCGTGGTTACTTTTCCTTTTTAATTCAGGTGGAAATACATTTTCCATGCTTCAACAATGTTTTCTGTCTCTACTGCAGCAGACACCACCACCTTAATCTGAGCGATTTTATCCACAATTTAAGATGACATTTCTTCACAGAAAGAAACACTTCATAATGAAATGCACACGACCAAACTAAAACTCAACTGACAAACAGATCATTTAACTTTGTTGACATCAAGGTGTAGGAGTGATTTTTTTTTTTTTTTTTTTTTGCTTCCTACACACCCAAAGCATATGATTTGTAACAAAACTCAAAATTTCTGTCAGGATACAAGAGGAGTCTAGTGTCATGGCCGCGTCCTCTGTCACTTTGTCTAGTATCAAACAGCTGTTATCTTCACTACTTATGAAGGCAGACAGAATACAGTGTATTTAGGAACTGTATCAATCGTGAGGACTCTTAAAGGCCTTTTCCAACCTAAACGATTCTATGATTCCATGACTCATGTACAAACTACTATTAGAATGGCCGATAACCTTAATTTTCAAAGCTGCCTGACTGCAAATTCACTTGTTCCCTCAATTATCTAAATTATCTTAATTACCATGGAAGGAATGAAGTTCTGAACTGATCCACAAAAATCATATCAAAGTCACCAAGTTGTTAATACTCTCCATGACTCAAAGACTACTAAAAATAGTAGCTGCATATCCTGAACACTGGAGAGAGAGTTTTATGTAGACGTCCACTTGTGATTGTGTACATCTCTGGCTTGATGACTCCAAATGAAAGATGTCCTGAAATTAAGACCAGACATGTAAGCCTTTCTCCCAATCAAAACCCACAGCTATGCTTTATCATCTATCACTTTATCTTGGGATGAGGTATTACACTAATCCAGGAGCAGCTGCAATGAAAATGCTGTACAGTGCCAAAACTGCAAGCTGCATCCATATCAAATCACTGATGGAGCAACTTTTATTGCTGACAGTGGTATGAAATGAAGAAACACATAAAACAGTTCTCACTAATGCATTACGATGTAATGAATGCTGGCCTTGATACGTATTTACTGCACTAACCACAGGCAATGTTTGTTTTTGTCTAATATCCCTTTGCCTGTCAGCATTTATGATCATCTTTATTTTTGCAATACACCTATGCTAGCTCTCGTATGCAGCTTTCACAGACAAATTTGCAAACACAAACATCAGAAGTTGGCCACCGAGTTTGTCAACTAACAAACAAGTGCAATCCCCTTGCAATGCTCATATCAATCTATATACCTATAACACCCCTGTGTCCCCTACAACTAAACAGCCCACAACAGAAAATGCCTCTAAAAGCAAGTGGATGTTTCTTTCTGTCCAACACAACACTCAAAAAGAGTCAAAGCTTGGCAGGACACTATGTGCTACAACTAAAATATTCTTGCATGGGAAGAAAAGGCTCATGAGAAATCAAAATAACAAGTTTATGCAGAATCATTACACAGAGAACTCTTTAAAATGGACTTGGTCAAGGTCCAGTTTGTGTCATTAAATGTCACTAAGCAATATAAAGAAGTTCAACACCTTGTGGATGTGACGTGGTGTTTACTTACTGAGCTGTTCTTCTTGATGAGGCAAAATATGTTGCTAAGGATACGTGCACACATTATAAGGTCCTTCTGCTCTTGTAAATGCATGTGGAGATGATGTAAAACTACTGGAAGAAGAATATATCGAGAATCTGGAAAAAATGAAAAATTTTATGAGTAGGAGCTTCTCACAGAATCATTTAATTTTAATACAGACATAAAATGTGTCTTCAGTCCCAAAACAGTATTTCTGATAAGCAGAAGCTTTTTCTTGCTTTAGCCAACATTTTTGATAAGCAGAAGCTTTTAGTTCATAATCATAACATCCTGAAGCAAATATCTGAAGAATAAACAATATGCTCAAAGTCAGTATGTCATATCATGGATGGAGAAAAACAGCACTGCGTAAAATATACTGTATATAACAGAAAATTCTAAGTATTGAACTGTCACGTAAAAAAACTTAGCACAGTAATACTTGTGTTCAAAATCATGTGAAATTATGCTCCAATGTTCCCTGCCATGTGACACGATCCCTTTGCAAGCCAAGGTCACAACACACTTCATCTTGAAGTTATGTTATTCTCCAAATGAGTTCTACTTTACAGACAAGCAGTATTTTCAGATTTCTTTCAGGATTTTCACTTTTCTAGATTCCTCACTCGTACTGAGTATGAGCAATTTAGATTACTGGTATCTACATAAAATGATTTGCCTTCCCTCTATTTTATTTTCTAAACACAGCTCTTTGGTGCTATTTTCAGTCCTGAGTTCTCTCAAAATTATGCAAGAACTTCATTAACATGCTACTGTTTTTGCTTCTTTTTCTTATAATTAAAGACAATCTTAAATGGGAAGAGCCCTAATACTTGCACTTGTGATAACACATTAAACACCTGTTTACAACTTGATAAATGGAATGGGTGTTATCTGTTTTCATTTTGTTGTTGTTTTTAGATCTTTTCCATGACTGAGAAATTATGTTCTCATAGAAATATACTTGAATCATTTCCTCTATTAAAATTTTAATGATGATTATATGCCACGTTATCTAAATATATTCATCTATTCAGTTCCTTTGTTCATTAATGTAATTATTTCCTAAAAATTGAGTTTATCTAGCCAGAAAATTACTCCTTTAAAATCATTTTGCGAACCAGGTACTGTTCATGGATTAGTCTTTCTATAAACACTTTTTTCCCCCTCAAGTATTTCCTCTATTTTTTTCAGGAGGGAGAAAAAGATTTATTCTGAGATTTGATTTGTTGAATGCTTCTTTCATTCACTGAAATACAGCACTAATGTTGTTTTTCTTTATTATTCCCTTGTTTTCATTGTCTAGTTATCTGTATAACACAAGACAAATCATATGGACAAGTTGATTTGTACACACTATTTAAATATATTCTTGTTTTTTTTTTAAAAAAAAAAAGAAGAAAAAGAAAAAAACTTGCCTGGTCTTCTTAAATGTGTGTTTTGTGCTTATTATTTATTCAGGTGTTCTGCTATATCTTCCTACTGATGAAAATATTAAACAAAGATTGTATGGCAATAGGCAAAAGGCCATCAATGAATCTAAAACCAGTGGTACTGAAACCCAAAATTGAGAAACAAAGAGCCTCAATCCAGTGACTGCTTGCTTCTGCAAGTGCCTCGGTAGGTTTTCACCAGGACTGGCCTGAGAGTTCATATCTGCCTGTAGCACAGCAGCTGGGCAGAAGTGTCTTGACCAAACCAACAAGGCATTTTCTTTTTGTCTACCTAAAATCCAGAAGCTCAGCAAAGCGTTGCCCCAGGTAGTCTGAGATGTGAAGTGTGCACAGCTGCCACAGCAAGATCTATAGGGTCAAAAGGAAAGGCAACAGGAAGATGGCGAATGCACAGACCTGTTGTTAGGAAAGTGCCGGCTTCCGATCACCACCACTAAATCTGCTTATTGATTACTGATAGATGAAAAACCAGAGCTGATGCCTTCAGCTGAAGCAAAAAAGCAGGACTTTCCATTCCTGTAAAAAAGACCTGACCTCTAGGTTACAGGGGACAGCTCCTTTTCCTTGCTTTCTGTTAGGCCTTACACATATTGAATGCTTGACTATCTGATAATCCATCTTCAAGAGAAGAGATGAACGGTTCACTGTGTAAACCAACCCACAGCTCTGCAGTTGGGGTACTCTCCTGGCAGGCAGGTGGTAGGAAGCCGAATCCAGGCTGACACGGCACTGAACCTGGTCTTCCATTCCCAGGCAAACGCTCAAATCACTGGTCAACTCCAGAAGTGTCATGGAGCAGTTATAGTAGCTCTTTCACACACTGCTGATGTGAGCCTGACTTATCCTTTGGACCATAGGTCCTCTGAGGAATGTAGGTCCTCTCTTGAAGCTACAACTCAAATCCCTGAGCCCAGGTGAGGAGAAAACAGGAGCAGCCCTGTGCCAAGGTGTTTCTTCTTGGTTAACTCTAGGTAGCTTCCTGATGAGCACACATGGGATTTGGTACCTCTTCTGAGGTGCCCACTACTCTGTGCACTGCTTACATGTAAGCACGGCATTATGAACTCCATTTTGAAGACCAAAGAATCTACACGTAGCAACACTTGACTTGTAAATAGCCAACTCTTACATAACAATATGGCCTGAAACATCTCAGGCAAAACTTTACATCTTCATTCGACTGTTTCAAGAATACCCTTTTTGCAAAAGCTCCATAAAATGATCAGGAACTTTGTTTTACCCAGACCAAACAGATTAGCAAAAAGCATCTTACAATGACTTGCAACTATGCATGGGAGGGAACAGTGCCAGTTACTGAATTAACCACCACATATAACACAGCCTTAGACTGTTTATCACGGAGTGTAGTGACAGGACAAGGGGTAGTGGATTTAAGCTGAAGGAGGGTCAACTTAGATTAGATGTTAGAAAGAAATTCTTTACTATGAGGGTGGCGAGGCACTGGAACAGGTTGCCCAGACAGGTTGTGGATGCCCCCTCCCTGGAAGTGTTCAAGGCCAGGTTGGATGGGGCTTTGGGCAATGTGGTCTAGTGGAGGGTGTCCCTGCCCGCAGCAGGGGGGTTGGAACTAGATGATCTTTGAGGTCCCTTCCAACCCAAACCATTCTATGATTCTATATATTCCTCATAAGCCCATAATCTAAATAACTCCCTGTCTTGACCTGTTTAAGTGGAGAGATGTAGTGGCATTACAGAAGAGGAGAGCTGGCATATTCATGTCTGAGCCAGACTAAGGACTATGAGAAAGCCTGGAGAATATTTGTCTCAAGTTATTCTTTTTCTTAAAAAATTTCAGCTGTAATGTCAGCCACTGTGTATAGAAAAATTAATGAGTGCAAGGAATGGTGCAATAATCAGAACTCTTAGCCATCAGTCACTGTCCTAATTTTTCTTCTGTGCAGGAAACCAAATTAGCTGACTGTTCAAAATGCTAACACTTGCCCTTTACAAATATTACACAGAAAGAGAGGAAAAAAATTATGGCATAGAACTTTTCGAGTACATACTTGGCATAATTAGAAAGAGAGACTACTCTGGGCAATCCTTGTGACTTTCCTATGCAAGCTACATTAATGTTTAATATTTAACCCACAGCACAACTTTCCCCCTTGCTTTTCAGTGAGTGGTAAAGCACCTGCACAGACATACAAAACTTTTTTTAGTGTATTTTAAAGATTAATTTCAGAAAGATGATACTCATTTCAATGACCATATCTGAACAGATGGTCAAAACTTCAGCCTGCTTGGAAACAGAATTAGTGTAATCGAACATTTTAAACAAACAAATGGCATTCTCCTTGAACAGTGAGAAGCAAGGAAGTTGCTTTTGGTTTTGACAGTTTTACGTGGACCTATTCAATTTACACCTCCTTGTTTGGAAGAACTGCTGAACGTTAAGAGTGGTAGGAAAAGGAAATGCTTAAGCCAAATAAACAGTTATTACTGCAATTCCAAACCTAAACATATATGCCTGCTCTGGGACTGCATGGCCACGTCACTGTTTTCGGAACAGTCAGTTTCAAAACTTTTATGAAGAACTGGTTTTAGTTGAAAGAAAAAAATTGCCTATAGTGCAGAAGGAAAAACACAGGTATGGCTGAGAAAGTCCTCCCTTGGCCTAAAAAAGAGCCACAGATGCAAAGCAGCATTTGCAAAGCTTTTGCAAAGTATTTTCTACTCTCCACTACAGAGGTACTAATTAATCTGAATATTTGTATGCAATATACCTACATACATCCCCCCGCAGGTGTCTATAGAAGCATACATACACAAAGAACTCCAAAGAATAGTGTTTTGCTGTGGAAGACAAATTAAGAAATACTAATTAATCTGAAAAAGATCTTGGAGTACATGAAAGCAGTACTATGGATCAATGTGTAAAACCTTTATGTTTTGAAAAAATTGACCTTTTTTTTTTTTCCCCCCAACTCCGCGTTAGTATGTAGAGTTTAATGAATTTTAACTAAATTTAATTCCGGTTTTGTATCAACAATTTAAATAATGACAGGCTTTTTGCATTTTTATAGCCACGAATCAGCTTGCCGTGATTACTGAAATATACTACATGTCTCTTTAATGAGTCTGTCTTTTGAAAAAATGATGGAATAAGAGGGAAATTATAATAACTAGCTTCTAGAACTAAACTTCCTTATCAGTTAATGGTATCCTTTCCTGAACTTGCTAACAACTTTTTTTTTTCATCCCCACAGGAAATCTAACAGGTAAAAACATCCTTTCCCCAAGCCAGTTCAAAGATATTAAATTATTCTTACTGATTGTGTCAGATATTCATCTCTGAATATTGAAACATATAGTTTCCTACATGTACATTCTCCTGTGAGGTACTGAATGCAATTCTTAGATGAACTCATTCACAAAGACAGACTGAGGTAAGTGGACAAGCTCAGAAAGAAAACTAAGAGATAACTATCACTTTTGCAATCTACTAATAGCGGGTTTCAGTGTAAAATAAAGAAAACAATAAAAACCAGATAAGGAATAAGTTATATATAAAATAAATACATAAAATTCTACATATGAAGTAAATTAAATAAAATGAACACATGATGATGTCTTTAAAACATCAGTTCAGGATTTTTCCTGGCTTTATATATCATATATAGATTACTGTCTGATATCTATACAGTAAATGGTCAGAGAATTAAACCTCACCTCTATTTGTTTTGAACAGTTTGCCTCTCTAAAGGGAAAAGTCCTGCCAAGCTACTCTGACACAGAGGTCCAAATCCTCATATTTTGGGAAGACACAAAGTTTCTTGCCTTGTAAGAACATTCTCCATGTGGTAAAGAGCTGCACCACAGAGTATAACCGGGCTAAGATACAGGCTTTATCAATATGGAATTTTCTTTTTTTAGGACTTAACCTAGGAATGTAATCTCTCTTCTGGTAATTGATGTGTTAGATCGGTGGTGATTGCAAGAAAGCTCATCCTCCTTGGAGGAAGAAACCTAAATGTTTCACTTGCACACCTCACGTTTTCATAGCTATTGCATTTGCAAGCTCAAAGTAGTGCCTTTAGAGAAAAAAACCAACTATTGGTGTTCTGCTAATTCCTGTTTAACCATGTCAAGAAGAACATGGTTCAAGATGTGTTTCTCTGTTATTTGCCTTAACCCTTCCCAGCAAAACAGATTTAACTCTTCCCCAAAGCAAGCCATAATAATATTTAATGCATAAAAGACAACAAACGAGTCCTAGACTACTGAGGTATCAGAAATGACAAAGGTAGAAAATCTTCTGGGTACAGGCATAAGTAGATCAATTTGGCCATTCTACAAGTATCAACAGGGATGCGTCCAAAGAGTTACACCCAAAATATCAGGAGATTGGAAGAAAGGCCAAGAGGAAAAAAAATACTGCTAGTCTTTATCAGCATGAAAACTGTCATCTGTTTCTTTTGAGACACTCAACATAGTGTACTACACAGATGTGGAAGTAAATACGGAAAAATAGAAGTAAGGCCTGAACATCCACTAACTTTTCAAAGGAGCTAGGCAGAACACTGCTGCTGACATCTTTTAACATCTCTGTAGTTGTTACCTACAGGAACAGCTGAAGTTTAAAATCACTGAAACAGAAAAAGGTTTTAAGCAAGTTATACCAAAGCCTCAATATAAAGCCATTTAAGACATTCTATCCACGCGTGATCAGTAAATACAATATATAACCTGCATTCCCTAGAGAGGCAGGTAGAAACTAGATGCGTCAAATACATCTGAAATTGTACTGAACATCTGTGTTTGGGCACCTTAAATCAACCTCTGCATGTCTGATGTTTCTATTTTCAACACTATACCAAATATATTTCCCAATTTTAGCGAAGGCATAGCTTTAGTGTCAGTTGATTTCTGCAGCAGTGGGAGCTAATGTGTTAGTTGCTCAGGCCCTTGTAGCACAAAATGCCTAAAACTCCCATGCTAAACTACTCTCACTTGTTTCCAAGCAGGCTCCTGATAACAGAAGATGTTATCCAAGACGTGCCCTTCTCACTTTTAGACGTTTGAATAAATATTTATTTCCTGTGTTCCATCTAGTTCCAATGTGTTAGCTAGCACTGCAGCTTGCAGCGTTCATCATCTTCATCTGGGAGACAGAAATCAATTATTTTTCACAGCAGCAAGCCTCAACTTCACATTAGGATGTACAGTTTACTCCGCACATTAACATAGTCTAGTGCAATGTTTATTTTCCCAAGAGGATATTAAAAGGACTTCCTTCTGGGGACTGACTGAGGGAGAGTCTACTTATATTTTTGTATTTTAAAGAGACAAACATTGAGGGCAAAGAGACCAAGATGCTGATCTGCACATGACCCTTCAAATTAACAATGACTGAAATTATACTGTGCAACTGTTTGCCTGAGCTTCCTATTATGGATGTTGGGAGCTTATATTACTGCCTGATGTCATCAGTTTCTCTGCGGTCTATGAAATTTATATTCTATTTGTGTATAAGCCACACTCCATGTAAAATTTAACATGTAATTTTCATTACTTTTGTAGCCAAATCACCTCGTATGGACTCTTAATAATGAAACTGGATTTGAATAAAAACCTAACATTTTTACAAAAGGAAGCAAACAAAAAAATTGTCATACAGCTGAAAGTAGATTTAGTTCCAAGAAAGTCCCCAGGAGTCCCTTACATGGCATTAATTAACTGTTTAATTACATTAATTCATTTGGATCTTCTGGTTAGGCTGACCTAACCAAGACAATGGGAGGAAAATGGAAATTATGCTACCCGGTCCCTAAGTATTCGGAAAATGAAAAACATAAATTAGAGCATCCTTAAGATTGCTCCATGAATGTCATCATCTACCCAGAGTATCAAAGGTCTGATCAATCAGTAGTAGGGAGAGCTAACTGTTCTGGAAGGGACCGCTATGGAGGCTCACAAGGGAAAGGGTAAGCTCTTTTAGCAACCAGAATGAAGCCAAGTAGCCAAGACCCAATACTTCTTACTCAGTTCTTTGAGCTGATATATTTATAGTACAATCACTGGAACATTTAAAAAAAAAAAAAAGTTCTAAGATCTCTTCCTTTATTTTACAGCATCTCAAAATATTTATGCATACCCTGGTGGTTTTTGCAGAGCCTTCATCATTGTACTGTGTTTACCTTGAATGCCTTAGATGGTAAAAGTTACTATTTCTACTGAACTCCATGGGCCAGTACCCAAATAGCTCTCAAGAGGGCTTCTGGTGTGTAAATTAACACTTCCTAGAATTCCTTAAATCTCTTCCATTTTAATTCTTTTATTTTAAAATTAGTTTATTTCAAATTTAATATTTGGTTGTTTCTATGTGTTTCACTTAGAATAGAAAGAAAGAATGTCAGGCTCACCATCACAGAGCAGTTTTTTCTTCCACATAGCAAATAACTATGCTGTTATATGCTTTACGAATCCACTATCACTTGGATTTCTGCAGCCTTTTTATGCTGCATTAAGAAATGGAGGATTGAAAGTGCTGAATTAGCAGGACTTACATAAATAAGACTTAACAGATAAGTGATAATCTATTTGCTGAACTGCCCCCAAAGGAGAAAAAAAAGGAAAAAAATAAATCATTTTAGTAAAGCTTTTTCCTTTATAATTACTTATAAAGTATAAGGCAAACTTCCTTCACAGACATATTGCCAGCAGTAGGTCAAAGCAAAACTATATTTTAAGATTCTTTGTCTCTAAAAAAACCAAAATTTAACCAACTGTCTTCATGTAAACGAGCAGCTTGTAGAGAGCAGTGCTTCAAGATTTTTTCCTTAGGAAGCACTACTTGGAGCAACACTATTCCCTTCAGCACCTGCTGGCCCCTGTACCAAGCACACAATTCGAGTGCCATATCTGCAGGCAGCCCCGGTTAACCTTACCTGGGTTGGTGTACAGGTGACTCTCTACGGTTTTCCCAATACTCTGCAGTTTAACAGCTTGAAGGGACTCATCCCCATGCATGACTGTTGGCAAGCTGCCCAGAGCATCGTGAACCAAATTTGCCACTTCTCTCACATCAAAGAGCTTCAAAAGTTCAGAGTACACCGATGGGAATGAACTGAGAAACACAGCCTAGAGGAAATGGGCAAAAAATGGACAGTCAGATATTTCAGCGCAGTTTTGACATTTCTAGAATTTAAATAACTATAGAAATGTAAGTAACATATCCTCACATTCATTAACGGTCTTATACTTGTGGCTATTTTTCTTTAAACATTATCTAAGGACTGTTCATTTCTCTCAGGACAAAGTGAAAGTAAAAAGCTCAACTTAGAACAAAAATATTTATACTTTACAGATTCTTCATGATCTATGTGTGAGAGGAAATTTTGAAAAGGATAACAGAAGCCAGCTGACATCAGAACAAAAAGATTTGAATGGAGTTGTTTTCATTTGCTTTGTTTTAAGGTAAGTAATACAAGGTCTCCACATCTTCCATTTTTCAAATTATGGACATTTTTATTTTGCAGTGAGACAGCACTTGCAATCTTGATTCACTTCAACAATCCTAAAATATGGTTCAAAATTCGTTGGTCAGTATAATGAATATGGAAGCAAAACACTGGAAGAGAAAGGAGGGCAATGCCAGAGAAAGGAAGCTAGAACTGACATTCCCTTCTTCTTCTCCAAATCTACCTGACTGAGAAAAGCTCCTCATACCTCGACCTCCTTCACACTGGTGTCAGAACAGATGACATAAAAGGTTAAAGATACTGAAGAATAATTCCAAATGTGGTTGTTGATATCATTTTATCTTTTCACTCCACCTGCTTACATGATACGAGTTCTACTCTCTCTACTCTGTTCTCTCTGATTTCCCATTTTCTTGGAAGAATAATTTTCTACAGAGCTTCAAATATTAATAGGTCTTAAACACCTTTGGTTACAGAAACGGGAAGAGGATGGTATATCTATGAGCTGTAGGAGCTGGTAAATCTATGGCACTTAATGGAGAGACCTGTCTCCTGTGTGTTTTGCCTCTGTGCTTTAGCACTACTCAATTTTAGTAGTCTCAATTGAAATAAAGATACCAGCTGAGTATAAAACATACAGTTCATCAAGACTTAAAAGTTTTCTGTAAAGCATGAAAACTCTTGATCGTCTTTTGTACGGCTCAAATTCTTCAGTTCCAATGTGGTTAACTAAGCTATAAAATGCCCAAAGCAGAAAAATTACTTTATTTGTATCCAGCAATATAATTATTATAATTATGATATAATTATAATTCAAAATTAAATATTAGATTTAGGATTTTCTTTGCCAAGCATATTTAGAAGCTGCTGGTATGAAAATTTCATACTATAGGACAAAAGGTATTTTTGCTCTAGCAAAACCACATTTTCTTTCCTGGGAATATAGGTAACAACATGCAAACATTTTCTATATCGGATGTGGAAAGTGGCAATAAGCAAGACACACTTGAAAACTTACTTGTAGTTGGGATAAAGCACTAGCTCCTTTGCTCTCTTGGGAAAGGAAGAAGCGTACTGACATAAGAAGTTCTTGAATACAGCAGCGAAATTCCTCCTCATTTTGTCCACCAGTGGCAATAGAGAATAACCTTCGAGACTGAACTATATATTTAAAGATATATTCCTGTGCCTACAAATGTCAAAATCAGAGATAACTCATAAAAATGAACCAACTCATCTTTAAATAGAACACACACAATGATTATATCATTCAAATAATGACAAGGGTCTGAAATAGAACAGCATGTAATTCAATTTTGGCAAATCTTTCTATTGAAACACTAACATTTCAAAAGCACATACTCAGAGATACTCTTCCCTTGCCTGTCATAATCTCTACAAACCAGGGAACACTTGTTTGTTTTACAAATGGAAAACTGCCAAATCCCAACACTGTCCCTCCATCCTTGCATGTCTTTGGCTACAGAAACATGTATTGCGTAAACATATGAGGCCAACGTAAGAAATAGGCTCAAATTTTTGAGCTGTTCTTGGAATCTCTCTGCCTGTTAAAAGTTGTTTTCCTGTCAACTGTCAACCAGATAATACCATAAAAGCTTAAATGAAGTTGCAATGTTGGAATGTAAATTGAAAATACAGCCTTATCAGCAAGACACCTATGTTAACAGCAGCATAGAAAAGCACAGAAGGGCAACACGTTGATATTTTATTTCCAGACTGTAGCACCTATCCCAATGGGATTACTGTGTTGTACAACTTAGTGTGAATCCACACTGTGCTCCGTTAATGGTACAAAATAGGGCAACAAGAGCAACCAAACCCACCATTTTCAGTAGGATTCTCCACTGTCAGGATTGAAGCATTAAATCAGAAGGAATGTCTGCCATTTAGATGACAGATGTTAATACCATCAATGCAATCTATATTTGATTTCTTAGACCTAACTCCTACTCATGTATATCCTCATTCAGTAAGGAACACAGAGCTCCAGACTCTAATGGTAGTAAGCTCCATTGATCAACTTATTGACAACAGAGAAGGGTGAATAAAATGACTGCACTGAAGATCTCTGCAACTCCCTAGCATTAATAGTGTATTTCCATCATTTATACATACTGTGGTTCACTTCCTAAGTTAAATCTGTCAGTACTATATGATCATATCATTCAAATATATAATTGCTTTTGAAGATTTTTATTACCTTTAGTACTTCCTGTATGTGCCCATGCAGCTCCACTTCAGTGACTCGATCAATATGCCACTTTAGTACTTTTATAAGATCTCTAGAAAACCACATCAAAAAGTATTATAACACAGAAATTAAAGAGTTAACTTCACATTTAAAATGTGAACATCTGTCATATGAGAAACACTGACAAAATAAAAAAATGTATGCCTAGATTTTGTTAATCACTACAGGCCCAATATTACACTTAATTTTCAGTCTGCTGAAAGCCCCCTAGTAGATTCTCTTACGAACGTGAAATAATACCAGCATTACGTCTACAACAGAATGATTGTGACAGAGATACATGAGCTCAATTAAACCAGAAGAATCCCTGCCAGCACAGACTACCCCTGCTATTCCATGCACTGGTCTGCAGTCTCATTAAACTGCGTTGGCTTTAATGGAAGTTTAGCTAGCAAATAAATACAGCAGAGTAAGTGGTGCTTATTAGTACACTGCTCTACACAGATAGTGAACACACTTGCAACTGGATGATGTTAAGGCTCTTATGTTTTTCAAAGTCATTAAAATAAAGAAATCCACTGAAGAAAAAGATTGAAAAAATAAGCCAATGTTAAAGCCTTAGCCAGTAACCTTTCTGATAACTTAAAGTTATTTTACTATTTTTTAATGGTCTAAATCTAGGCATTCATGTAAGCACTGCATTTTATTTCTAATGATGCAGTTTAATTTAACCTAATGATTGATTCTGCTGAATAAACCAATAAATGTCAGTATTCAAATCAGATAGAAAAAGTACAGACTTCACCTGTATGCAAGTGCTCCGGCAAAGTGACTTTCAATGTAAGTGTCCATTACTGGCTTGAAGTGGTGAAACTTGCTGTCCTGCAGCAAATTTATTATGTGAACCTAAATATGAGGGAAAAAGACAAAAAAAAAAAAAGCTCTTTGTTTCTTTTTTTTTTAAATGTAGTTCTTAAATAGTCTTAAGCATCATCACAAAATGAAACTTACCAAACAATCAAATACTTTTGATCCATATTTTTGAGAGTTTTCATCTAAAATCCCAAATAAAGTGTCTAATGTATCTTGAAGAAACTGATTAGAGAGAATAAGAGACAGTTTGTTATTAAATAGGTATTTTTGTGACACAGAAATATCTTATTTCCCTCATATTATCTAAAATGATAGAATGGTAGATACCTTCACTATTTCTGAACCATCAATTTCTTTTAATTTTGAGAGGCAACCTGCAATTTTGTCTGGGTGGGTTCTCCATTTCAGAAGGTCAAGCATATCTCCTGCAAAAACAAAATGCAAGATTAAAGCTGGAAGCAAAGCAGCATTTCAGAGTTTAAATTCTACTATTACAGTCCACTCAGCAAAACTTGGCATCATTAAAACAAAAGAAAACATCTCAAGATTTGCTATAATATGATCTGCCCAACAACAAATTTTCATTCCATCCCATAATTGCTCCACCAATAGAAACATAAGAACACGGTTCTGGGTCACTAAAATTAGTCTCCTGTGGCAACTGTATCATGCAGTCTTGTTCAGATATTTGTCAACTGCCATCTTAAGAAAAGTAATTATTTTGCTGTCTCTCATCCCATTGAAAGATGCCTTCCAGAGCTGCCATCTGACAGCTAGAAATAGTCTCCTAATTACTAGTTTGAACATATTTAAAATACACATTTTCTTATGTCTTTTTTAGGGAACAAACACAATACCTCTAAGATCCTGCTTTATTATTAAGCAACACAATCTCTTCCAGAAAATAAACTCTTCTGAGCTAAAAACATACCTGAGTGCCTTCACACTTCCTGCAGTTTTAATTCATTCTCCTTCAGCTTTCTTGATTAAAATGGTAACTACATTACAGATGAGATTATATCACTGTTTCCCATATCATTAGCAAGCTTGTATGTCTGCTGTAAACACACCTGACATATATGTTCCAGAGTTTAGAGGGTTTTTAGATACATCATATTGGTGACACAAATAGGTTTAATATTGTTCAGCTCCCTGCCTACAGCAGAATCCCCAGGAGACTCCATTAAGGTATGATCCTCCCTTTTGTACCATTAGATTTCACCTAATTTCTATTCTTTCTTATTAATTATTTAAATCAAAGTTACCTTGCTTTGTCTGTATCATATTTTGATTTTGTTCCTCTCAACTGATGAGCCCTTTCAACTACATAGCAGCAGCAAATTTTATTAACAGGCTCTCTAGTGTCTCAGGTTTTAGTGAAGTAACCCCCATCCCCACTCCCACCCCTTTAAAGAAAAGATCAATCCCAGGCCTAATTCTTCAGATCTAGTAGTATTTTTATTTCACTCAGGAAAGAAATTACTTCCACTACAGTGGAACTTACTAGTTCCCTTTTAGCCTTTATTTACCAGTTTTAAAATTCTTATTCTAATCTGTATCTTTTCTAATTTCCCATGTGGTGTGTTATTGAAGTCCAGATGGTTTAGATCTGCTATGTTTCCTCTGAAGAATAATAGTAAAAAAAAAATTGAAAAGAAAGATCAAGAAGTTTATTCTGGCATGATATGACTTTGATAAACTCATCTTACAGCACATTCCATTTAGCTACATGTCCGCTTTTTCATCCATGATTTCTTGTAAATACTTGCGTAAAATTCATCCGAAGGTGATGGCCCAGTTAATATATCTGCTCTTCCACCTGTCTAAAATGTAGGTACTATATTTATTACTCTTAGGTCATGTGTTATTGCTTTCAGCTTCAGAGATGTACTAAAAAAAACACCTCGCTATGAGATTGGGAATTTCATGTCCCATACCATTCAATATCCAAAAATAGTTTTGCAAATTTGGCTTGGCTTTTCAGCAGTTTTCACTTGATCCTGACCCTTGCTGAGCTCTGACACGTTGCTGTTATATTCCTCCCTTCTGCTGCAGGTTCTCTGGTTACTCCTCACATTTTCTGCCCGTGACCCTCTCACTCAGGTCTGCAGCACTCCTTTCAAGTTGTATTCAGTAAAAATTCCACGTTTTTGAACCATTGAATTAAATAGATCCCAAAGCTCCTTTACATTCAAGTTTACTACTTCCATGTTTCACTAACCAGCTTTTCAGAATTTCTCAAAGCCTGGCTGTTCGAAGCAGAAAACCTTAACGACCGTCCAGCCCTTCCATCAGTTTAAGCTGAACTACTGTCTAGTCGACCACTGTCCAGCATTGTCTTAGAAGGATCCCGTTCTTCTGAAATGTTCTCAGTGCTTCTCAAACTAATAAGCTAACAGCAAGTTTTTCTCTTGGTTCAGCACAATTATTTGGGTGCTTTCCACCACAGACTGTTTTCGCGCTCAAGTAACATTTGAGCCACACGCATCTTTGTGTCATTTCTTTCCCAGTTTGCTCCAGGAAAGCTTCTCTCTCCCACAACAAGAAATAATGTGCTATTTCCGTCTTTAATAACATTAAATAAATCTCCATCTATATTCAAATCTGGCCAGTGGTATAGCAAGAACATGCTATTCCACTAATATTTGGCTGCCTTAATTGATTTTGGTGAGCACAAATTGTTTTTACGCATTTATACGTTTCTTTTTTGTTTTGCTTCACTCTGTGCTAGTATGGAATGGTTTGAATTAAGAGAGATGGTTGAGCTGCACTAAGAGTGCTGAAGGGTCCCGTATGTGCAGCAGAGACACATCCCAAAGATCAAGGACAAATGACAGGTCTTATTATTCCTTCCGACAGGAATTTTGAAGAAACAAGCATTACAAATCCAATGAACTGCATTTGTCTTTTGGATAATTAAATGGACTTTTACACTTTATTCTGTTTAAGCCTCAACATAAGTTAAGGAATAGCGAGACTAGCTGAAGCTGTCAGTTCATAGCAGGAAAACCACTTCTTTACAGGTTTGCTGGCGGAACTTGGTGGAAGATAGTTGACACTCAATATTAGGGATTTGTTGGGGATTAAAAAAGAAAGAGAAAGCAAATGTAAGACACTCACTTCAAAGTACTTATTTCAAGGGAAATGTTAAGGAGGAAAGACATTGCTGAGATAACATTAGCAAATAGCCCAAGCATAAATGACACAAATAGAAAATCTGACATGTGAATCACAAGGGGAAGGGATAGCAATTGTGTCGTGTATTAAGAGAAATGAAATATAAAACTGTCCCCAAAAATAGGCCCACTAGGAAAACATCATTTTGGAAAAGGAAAAAAGTCAATGCCACTGATAAATTTTGCTGAAGAAGAAAAATATTTCAAATGCCCTCTCTTAATCATGATCAGATTTGTATATTTAAAATAGGTGACACCTGACCTCCCATTTCTACCAAACAAAACGTTTCCCTTCTCAAAGTCCGTAATTTAAATCCAAAGTGCTAGGTTTAATAAAAGGTTTAGAGTTACGTGTATAATGAAGTGGTTTGGGATGATCTTTCCATCTCTCTCCTATAAATCCCAAGACATCAGCAATTGGCCTGGTGTAGCGGTACTGCACTTCAAAAGAAGAAAGCCGAATTCCAGAACTGGCAGCCTGAATTCCTCTTCCAACAGGCTGCTTCTGTGGTTTCCAACAGTCCCTCCAAACTGGGGTCACTCTGGAAAGCTGCCCCTTGTTACTTTTGGTTTATTAATCACCAATTTGGCTTTTTTTAAATGCAGATGGATGGATTACACCTCTGCCTTGCAATAGACGTGCAGTACGGCATGTTGCTCTACCGATGAACAGCTGCTTACTGGGGATGTGCCGATCAGTGCTGAGAAACGAGTGGATGCCAACTTGCTAAAATATTCTGACTTGCTGGATGGATCCTGAGTATCTGGCAGGCAGAGATCCGTCCTATATGTCAAAAACTAAGTAAGACTGTATTGATAACTACTCAGTAGAAAAATACTATGTTCTCTCTCACTCTTTTGGGGTTTTTGTTAAGATAATGAAATACAACTGTCCAGCTAAGAATGTAATGTATAAAAGCTGGTATATTAACTAACATTAATCGATTAACTATCCAGGATCAAAAGTCAAGCTAAGGAAAAGATAACTGGGAGACAGATTAGATAAGCACGCGTTCTTGTGAGATACGCTGATGAACGTGGAGGCTCCCCTGGTTTGAAGGTCTCTGAAAATTGTTTGGAAATAATCCTAAAAACCTCTCCAAAGTGCCCAGGGTAAGGAAGTTATGGATCTCAGTAACTGGGAGTCAGCCTCCTTCCCCCTGTCCCCATAATTTTTATATGCATGAGAGCTGATGGCATGTGGGAACAATCAATGAGAGAATGACAGCTGAGTAAAATTTCCCAGCAAACTGGTAAAGCTGTGGCCTAATTCAGTCACACCCTTTACAAGTCTGGGTTTGGGGTCCCCTCCCACCCCATGGCCAGACCAATAGCACAATTTTCAATTCATTTCCAGCATGGACATTGTTCTTTGTAGACATAGGCAGATCTCTGAGAACTTCAGAAAAATCTCCAAACTTAAAAACAGATTAAAAAATAATAATCAATTTTCAAAAATACTAATACAAATGTTTACTAAAAATTAAATACACAGATCTTTTTAATCTTGTATTTTTAACAGATATGCTACATTCTCTCAGGGATAACTGAAGTAATGCTCACATGACCAAATATCCACATGCTTTGCTCTATGTTCATTTTCTGAGCATGCAATAGGTTTTGGCAAATTTTTGTTTAAAAGAATGGGGATTTGGAAACTCACCAAGATGAACTTCCCAAAGAAGATCCTTGGAGAAAATATGAGCCTGTCTATTGAAAATATTTCCACCCTCTGAAGTACTGCTGAAATAATTGTTAACTCTTTCAGAGCTGAAAAGGGGATCAATATTATTCAGATATTCTACACCCTCTTACTCAGAATATGGTTAAAAATTAAAAAAAAAAGGAAATTTTATGCCCTATGCCACACATCTATTTACATTAAGTACAAAATAACTCCTGCACTGTGAACATAAATTAGTATTATAACCCCAGACAATGCCACAACTATTTATCAGTGAGACACTTAAGTTCTGGGCTGCACTTTCATGCATGTGTAAGTACCAGTAGAGTCATGTGATTTCCTAAATCAAGGCCTTTAACTGAAGCAAATTTAGTCTCTGATTGCCTATTAGCAACCTTTGGGAAAATCTTTTATTGGCTAACTTTTATTACTTTGAAGCTAATTGCTATGAGAATACGGAAAGGATGTGCAGAGTGAAACAGACCACTTACTATTTGCACATAGTTCTACTTTTGGACACTTGCTACTAAATGGTGAAAATTAAGACAATTATTTCAATTTAAAAAGCTGCTCTAGTTGTTGTTAAACACCTATGATCAATTTGCAAGCAATTAGCAATTTTATCATCATACATATAAGAAGGGTAAAGACAGTCATTCACACACAAGAGAGAGTTAAGATCTTACAACTGTGATAAACAGCTCAGAAAAAGTAATATAAAACTGTGGGGACATCAAAGAATGGTCAGAAACACATTACCAAGCAAATACACAGTATTTAGAAATTTATGGATAAATGTTTCAGTTACAAACTGTAGTTAATATGGCAAATAAACAAGAAACTTAAGAATTTTACACAAAGCAATGGTAAAGAGCACAAACACGTGTATTTCTATCTGCTGCTCCTTATATCCAGTGTATAAGATTGTTTTAAGTAGTAGTAAATGTTTGTTGGCCTTAAGGAAGAGAAGTGATACAACAAAAAAGCAATATGTGCCTAATTAAAACCAAACTGCCACAGCCTAAAGCCTACAATAAGTATTTCATAAAAGCTCTACAACAAACAGATTAGTTGTTTTTTTAAAGCAGCTGGGTTTTGATAGTTGATTCCAAGAGTGCTGCATTTGATTCCAATATCATGTTAATCTCAAAAGCATTCTTGAACTACTTAAAATCAGTGGTTTATCATGCTGCATTGGTTTCCATCTGGACATAAAAAATTATGAAGAAAACCAGTTTGTAAAATGGATAGAACATAAGCTATTTTTGAGTACATCCATGCTTGCTTGGCACGGAAAAGGCTAGCTATCACACTCATTTGAATTCATCATGTTTTAAATAATCAACATATCCTACCATTTTGTGTGAGTTTAGTGGAGCAGAGAAAGGACGTAATCCAGAAGGACTCTTTAGTGGTTTTTACTGCTTGGCTGTTGTTTCCTAGAAAAATTCCCTTTGAAAAGGGGAGTTTGAGGTAGCGACCAGAATCCTGAAGGTTTGTGTTTTCTTCACACTGTGAAAACAAACCAGTTAAAATAACTGTGCTGCATAAAAACAAAGGACCAAATCCCTAAATTATACGAATTGTTATTGTTTCTCTGCCAGAAATTGAAGAATTTTCACTATGCCTACCGCAACTTGGATCATAGCTTCGTATCCGACATTGAAGTCATTCAATTTGCACAGGTTATGTCAAATGAATAGCTAAAATCTAAAATTTATCTGGGAGCATATCAAATCCTCTGAACAAAGAGATAACTGTTAAATGCGGGAACAAAAATTCCCCCAAACTGGAATATCCCTAAAAATGATAACATTGAGTAGATCTGCATAAATGAGCTTGCTTGATTGTCCAACTTCAGCAATTCACTAAGAAGGTATCGTGGGGTTCACTTTGTGTGTTTTAATTGAACTTAACTTTGTGAAATCCGTTCTAAATACAATGTAATAGAATAGTAAGGCTTCATAAAACCAGTGCACTGAAACACATCCCTAGATTCAGTTGCAGTTTGTAACAGGAAGCTTAATATTAAACAATCAGCAATGGATATTTTAATGATGACAAGATTGTCACTCATCTGGTAATAAATACAGACTTTCTCAACCTAATTTTTCAGAGCATTTAAAGTATGTTCCAGAGGAATCATTACAGCTAATGATTACTAATTCAAATTACCTTGTGTACAATGAGTTCATGGGTGCCATCTGGCAGAGTCCTCCCATTTTCTTGCATCAGGGGCACGAAAGAAAAGCCAAACAACTTCTTCTCACCCTTTTCTTTTGCTGAAATACATATGTAAATAGCAGCACTTAAAGTTAATATCATATATTTAGGCAAAATAAATGGATATAATACAACACAAGAAAGTATACTGGAAGCTACTGGCAGCTAGTCAGACTAAGATTATCTTAAATTTCTTTTCAGATTTGCACATTAGCTCCTGTAATGGTTTCTTTCAACTCACTGTAAATCAGAAAGCAGTATTCTGGAACGATTTGGTATTTATTAACAACAAATAATGGAAGCCATCAAATATGCAGTCTTAGTAATATACAGAATGCCAGGAAACCCAAATGAATGGGACCTAGCCAGTCCGACATGAAGAGCAAAGGGGGTTTTTAGTGACAACTATCCCCTACAGTAGCTTCTACCTACTGGTCCTCATTTCAGGTCAGCCTCAGGCTGCACTGCACTTCTATTTTCAAATAAGGCATCTGCCTCTAGAGATATGACTGAAGATGACACTGGTCCTTACATGAATGTTAGACAGCAGATAACATTTTCAGACTCGGATGTCTAATCTCAAATTCCAAAACTCATCTATCATCTAAATATAAAGCAGACTATAGAACACTGAGATGGCACAGATTTTTACTGAAGCCAATGAGTGCAGACGCTGAACACTTTTGAGAATTAACCAATTTTTCACCAAATGTGTGTACATATGACTTTGGAGTCCACGTTTAGCACAGTTGGGGTGGTGTAGGCAATCATAACAAAAATATCCAACTTGCACTGCACGGGAAACATAGTGCAAAAATGTCTCATCTGTTTGAAACATACCACTGACGTTTTTCCTCTATTACTTCATAGCTTATAAAAGAAATCTTAAAAAAGAAATCAATTGAAATTTCTTCCTATACTACCTGTTCCTTATATTTTGAAGTTTATGTACCCGAAATCTAAATATTCTATAACTTACCGTGCACGCCACTTTCCACAAAGGCAATCTAAATAATCATATCTTGCTATATCTACATCACCAAAAAGAGCCAAACAGCAGCAGCAGTTTAATGTACTAAGGAACAGGTATAATTTTGGATAATTCACCAGGTAAATTCTAAATTTTCATTTTGAGTTTACCTGAAATTCTGTTTACATTTGCAGCTACAATGTTGTCTATTTCTGTTTAATAAAACCAGACTGTTTTCTCTTGGTATTTAGGCTTTACCAAAGCACTGAGTTCCACCAAGCAGAGCTGCAAGCCTGAGAAGCTGTGTCATGAAAGCATTACAGAGAAAGTTCACGCAGCTGCCTTTTTCCTGAGGTATTATGGAAACTCCTGCGCTAACTGCAGCTGTTACAGAGCGGACTAGAAGAAATTGTGAACAGTGCTTACTGGAACAGTGCCGGAATTCACAGCGGATATGTGCTCCTCTGAATTTATCCACAGGAATGGGAAGTTTCAGCAGCTCAGCCCATCTGGGACCATTGTTATGATAAAGGACAAAGGAATGGTACTCGCTGGCTGGTGGCTCCCCAGAGCCGAATGAGATAAAATCCTGGTGAAGAAAAAGTATTGATTAGAGATCAAGGGCAGATTAGTTCAATGGTAAGATGTCATCAAGGACTGTTCTTACAAGGAAGACTATTTAACATTTACATTCATATCATAAAGGCCATGTGGTATAACGCTCAATATCTTTAAACCCACAAAAACAGTAGCACTTCGTTAATATTTGCTGATTAGAAAAAAAGGCAAGAATCATCCACACCGATGAGAATCGATGTATTATATAGGGGGAATTGGCTTAAGCAACAAATGTGATGTAGAGTTCCATGACACATCATGGTCCATCCAGAGGTGTGCCCAAGCAACAAACAAGAATTTAACTGAGGCAAGAACAGCCCAGGCTTAAGATCTTTAGTCCTCTGAAATAAGCCTGTAACCCTGCTGTTATCAGTGACATGTCCCAGCATGAAAAAAAGAAAGAAATCTAAATGCCCTGATTAGGAAGAAGCAAAGTGTTGGTTGCTTTTGCAACACCCATGATAGGCTCTCAATAGCAAAACAGGCAAATGGATTTGTAAGTCCTGACCTGGGGATACCTGTTAATTCTCTGTGGGAAAGGTAAGCTGTAGCAATTACAAAGGATCACCTTTTCATCTGAATATCTTTTATTTTTTATGGGTATATACATAAAAATGATACACACACACACACACATTTTATACACATAAAACATACATACATTGTATGCCGTACATTTATACGCACAATCTCATTTCACATATGCACACACATACAATTTGCACCACACTATTTGTGTCAGCCTTTCTTCATTTTGTCACCCCACAGCCCTCAACATCATGCAGAATATGTGAAAAAAGTACTTTCACATACAAGGGGAAAAAAAAAAGATGCTAAATATGTATGGAAAAGGTTGAAGGTTAACAGAAATCTTTTGGTACAGAAAAAAAATCTGAGAAACAGTCATCTAATAATAATTAAAATATAAACCAGCGCCTGTTTGTAAGCTATCAACAGCAACATGCAATCAAATCTGAAGAAAAGAAGGAACATTGATTTATTCTTTTTTTTAATACATGGTGGTGATTTTTGCATCAAGGATCTCTGATTTATTAAAATCAGACAAAAAAATTGAAAATTATCAAAACATGTTTTCTGTAACATGAAGAAATTCCTACCTACTAAGAAGAATTGCGACAAAAAAAAATTCTCCAAAAATTGATATTGCTTCAACATTTTCCAGCATCTTAATGCAATAATTAGTTATTTGATTGGCAATTATAGGTGTTTATCTGAATTATGTAATTGATCACAGAAGTAAAACAAACATGCATTTTATGAAAGTTTTAAGCAAAGTGGAAATACTTTGAATATCTACAGACAGCAAAATCTAAACAGGAACTTTCCAAAGCAATTTTGTAATCTTCAAAGAATGCCACAGATGATTTACCTCGGAAAAAGTGTATCAAAATCAACTACAGCAAGGAAAAACAAACAATGAAGATACCTTTAAAATTTGACCACTGCTGTCCACGACATGCATTGTTACTTCCACATTTCTGGCCACACTTTTACCTCCTTTCTCAAATTCTCCTCTTTCTACAGTGATATATAAATCATTCCTCATTTCACCTAGAAAAAAAACCAAACCAAACACAAAGTGTGTGAAAGTCAGTTCAATTCGCTTACTTTTTGCTTGTAGTACTTTCATGTACTTTCATCTTCTCTTCCAAAGAACGGACAGTATCACACCACAATTTATCAGTATTTTTGGATTTTAAATAATAACAATTGTTTTCATAAACCAAGAAAACCTACAAAGCTTCATGCTTTTAAAAGCCCAAAAGATTGTCTCCCATATTAAACCAATTCTAGGGGCTTTTACTTATCTGTTAGCTCTTTACAGTGGCATCTCCAGCTATCCCAAAGCTGATGTCTGGCTTTACCTCATTTAATTCCTCTTTTAATCTAAGGTAAAATTAATGGGGTTTTGTTGTTTTGTTTTGTTTTCATTTGTAATCTTTGCATTTCTCTGTTTAATGGCTCCTTGAAGAACGGACTACAATTTTTTTACACTTAACCCCAAAAGAAAGTGTATTGCTTTGAAGAAGTAAAACCCAAGAGGTTGGTGTTCTTTCCATTAGAAGGGCAGGCTTCCCAGATTGCTGGCATTCAAATCTGTCTTTCTGACCTAAAAGTTTTCAATGTATTTTACATTGGCAGGGTGTTCTGAAGTTTTCTAGCAAAAGTTAGCTTGTCAGAAACGTTTCTGAGAAATTAAAATCTTCATCAACACATTCAAACTACAAACAAATACAGGAACTACCTAAGTGTTACATAGTATGTACAAGTTATTAAATACTGCTAGCATGTTTAAATTGAAATTCTTTGCATGTTCATACGTTAATGTGCCAAGTATTCTGTCAGAGCATAACCAAATCTTCTGGATGAGATCAATGGCAATTTTATTTTAGTTTCAGTTGACGCAAATCACAAAGTTTATAGTTGATGAAAGGAAGAAAGATTGTTTGGCAGTCACGGGGGGGCGAAGAGAGAAGCAGTACTAGTGGTGAGTGGAGTGGCGTGGTAGGGAAGCCACTGTTTTGTTCGAAGATGTTAAATCTATTTCTAAAATGCGTAAACTAATCTAGCTCTAGACAAACATTACCAAAACTACTTGGAAGCAATTGGACTTTCCTTGTGAAACAGCAAAAAAATGAAGGACAAAAGGCATCGTAATTCAGAGCATCTTCTAAAATACTATTTTCTACATTTGGTAGAAAAAGAAATTGAGAATATATGCTTTCATCTACCGAAACACAAGTTTAGCATAATGGAAATATCCTCTTTTAATGAAGCAGATTTTCACCGAGCACTGGTGAAAAGAATTAAGTTTGGTGTATTTATAGATGTACCACTTAGAAGTCAACCATGAGATGGATACTTGTACTGTGGGTAAAATTAAGTGAAAGGTATGTAACTGATAAATAATTAGCACACCTTCAATTTCTGGCTTCATTTTAATCTGCAAGCAGAATTTGACTTGCTTGAACTTTCCAGAATGCTCTCGTTTCACGTTTCTTGCATTTATTTTACTGCATGCAACTCCCCAGTGATTTTTAAGTACCAGAAACAACGATCTTGCTACAGTCTTCTAATATTTTTATAATGTTATTCCATCACTGTATGCAAAATAATTAAATGATTCCTCCAAAGCACAATCTAAACCATTGTCAAATGAAGAAAAAAAAAAAAAAAAAGGTAAAAGAAGCCCTCAAGAACGATGCCCATAAAAAAGGGGGCGGAAAGGGGAAAATCTGCTACTGTATTACCTTTTTATCAATTATCTTCTGAAACAACTAACAGAGACTAGAGTACAGTTACACAGAATGAACAGAAACAAATACCAGGACCAGATGGTATTCACTTAAGAGTTTTGTGTGAAGTCAAGGATGAAAGAGCTGAATTACTAATAAGTGTGTGCAGTCACTGAATCAATCTCTGGTTCCCGGTGGGAACTAGGTTGAAAATAAGCAAAAGGTGGGTTACTCAGGTAACAGGCAGAAAGACTTGTAAAAAACCCAAATCCACCAACCCCCCAAAAAAACAAAACACAAAAGCAACCCCAAACCAAAAACTAAACACAAACCAAAACCTTTCCAAAGGATGTTGTGAACATGCAAAATGTTCAAGGGGAGAGTGGAGAAGTTGTGGAAGTAAGATCCACTAAAGGATATGAAACAGACAATCACAAATAGCTCAGGAAATCCCTTGAGCTGAAAATAGCTGGAGGCTGGGAGAGCATCAGGGGGTCATTACCATACATGCATATATGCATGCTCAGTTCTTACTCTTCCTCCTTAGGTGTCTGTTTATAACACTCTAGATAGGCCCTCGGTCTGAATCAGTAAAGCTGTTTTTATGCTTATTCAAATCACAAAATTACCCTTAAAACTACTAGATTCTGATTATTTCCCCATCACAGTAATATCTTATAATAAAAATTTTAGACGCCAGTACAGTATAGTTACCAAAGAGCATGCAATATATTGGCTCCTTGCTTAGCACGTGCGTATTCTAGGATGGGTTCTAGTTAGTGCTCGCAAGCGGTCACTTTCAAGAGTTTAACATTCAAAAAAAATGACAACACACAGTAATCAAAAAGAGAAGCTTTGCTATTTAACTGATTTTAGCTAACAACTTGTAGTTGCAGCAATCTCTCTTTAAAGATTAACTTGAATTCTACGAGCATTTGTGCTACATTCAGTCGTTATTTTTATTTATCAGTAAGGAATTATTTCCATTTTCCCTGGGGTCTTCATGGAAACACAACCAAATAACCATTTCCACCACAAATTTCGTGACCTAGCCCAGATGAAACTCAGTGAAAACTGTTTTGGTTTTTGTTTGGGGTTTTCTTTGTTTGATTTTTTTTTTCTTCTTTTTAAACAGAGTAAACTGTACAGGATTTAAATGAAAATGACAGTGGAACAGGTTGCTCAGAGAAGTTGTGGATGCCCTATCATTGGATAGGTTGCATGGCGCTTTGGGCAGCATGACCTAGTGAAAGATGTCCCTGGCAATGGGGGGGGTGGGGAGGGAGGGGCAGGGATGATGATCTTTAAATATGGTATTTAAAGGTACCTTCCAACCCAAACCATTCCATGGTCCTATGCAAAAACAAGAAATCATTTCCAAAACAAGTAATTAGAGCTTCACAGAAGTTAAGCAGGCTTTCAAAAACAGTGTCTGCATCTAAGGTTTTTAAAAAAATCCAAACCCATTGAGTTTCACCTTTCTAATTGCCAGAAGACATCAAAGCACAGGGAAAAAAAGACACAGGAGTAGGATGTACTTTCACAAATACTGCCCTGTTCTCCTTTTATAGAACCTTGGCAGAGTTTTAATCAGGGTCATGAGAGGATAGTTCAGATGAATTTTATCCTGGTCTACATCCATTCAGGAAGCTCTACTCTTTTCAATGTCTCAGAGCAAATCAAGACACATGGGTCACGTTATTAAAAGAAAATGCCAGATTTTCTCTGTTATCATGCAAGGTAAATTAAATCCAAGAGGAGACTAAGTCTCTCATGCTATATGAAGAACAACGATGTTTTTTATGGAAGGGAAATAACTGAAATAGACTGGAAAATTAATCAAAAAGAACGTAAACTATGGGTACAGTCTACATCAAGCAGATATAACAGCAGCTTCCTCATCTCAAAGTATGTGAAATATCTGACATTTTATAATCTTTAAAAAACTGTAGGTTTTAGTTTAAATTTAGCCTTGTATCTGGATGTGTACTCAAATATATTTCACTATTGGTTTAAAAAAAAGATCACTACTTGCAACCAAAATGTAAGAAAACCAACTATATTGGACTTACACAGTTCAGATAAGTGCACTGGAACATTAAGAACTTAAAGCCATGCTCCTGAAAATTCTTTAGCACAGTATTTGTATGAATATATTACGAGTAAAAGCTCGTAAGATCAAAAAGTTTACAATGGGGTTGTAAAAATCAAGCAGAAAGCCTTATCAGAAAATAGCTGATTGTAAAAAAAAGAAAATGGATTTAGAAAGTAAACTTCACTCTGGCAAGGAAAAATGAAAGAAAATTGTAATAAAAACTTAGACAAATATATTTGGATCCAAATTTTAAAAATTATTTCACTCTCAATATATTGCTCTGGAAATACCTTAATTACTTTTACTTCCTCAATGTAGAAATGCCACTGCTTCAATCTTCCTTAACAGAAATTTTCTGTGCAAAACCTGAGATTGTCTGTGTAAAACTAAGTTAGGGCATTCTTTTGCGGCCCCTCTTCCAGTAAAAACCAATTCCAACTTCCTCTATAAAGTATTCATCATTCGTTTAACTGATCTTTTTAATTTATGGCAACTGCAACTACACAACTCGTTAAAAGAATACGCACAAGTTTTCTACAGGATCTTTGTCTAAACCAGGATACCAGACAGATCATGTTGACAGATTAAATTGTCTTGTTTTCACTTAGAGGGGCAATTACAGTCATAAGTAGCACTGAAAGGGAAAGTCCTGCTGA